ATTTACTGTTCTTAAGTTAGTAAATTTTTTCTATTCCTATCTTTCAATGTTCTCATTCACATAATCCTAGGGGAATTCTTCTTGAAATTGATAAGTTATGTAGGGATTTTATTTGGCATAAGCAAGATGGTAAGAATAGCCTACATTATGTGAGTTGGTAGGTATTGTGCAAGCCGGTTAACTTGGGTGATCATGGACTTCATTCTTGTGCAAGTAAGATGGGTCCTTTAAGGGCCAAATTTGCATGGAAGTTTCTAAATGGTTCTACTTCATTGTTATATAGAATCTTGGATTCAAAATATGGTTATTGTAATTGGAATTCTAAAGCCAAGAGGTGTTCTTCTTCGTCTTGGAAGATCATTTTTGAATGGAGCTAAGGCACTTGCTCTAATCATAAGGTGGAAGGTTGCAAATGGTAATTCTATCAATGTATTCAATGATGTTTTGATATTGGACAAATACATTAATAGATGGTCAACATTTGTCTCCATAAATGAAAATGTTAATTTAAGTCTAGATAACTTTATTTCTAATGGTTGTCTGAATAAGAATGAGGTGGGGAAATATTTTGGTGAGGATTTGATTTCTATAATTGGTAACATTCAAATGTCTTCTAAACTTCCTAGAGATAAAATGGAGTTGATTCATTTTAATTTTGGTAGGACAAATTCTGTTATGGCTTCAAGAGTTTCAGATTGGCTTTCTAACATTAATCAATACTGGGACTGGTTTAAGAAGATTAAACTCATTCCCCAGGTGGATAATTTCTGGCGGCGTCTATTCAATAAAGCTATTCCAATGTTTTATTTCCTTGTTTGTAGGAGATTGAAGGATGATAATTTCTGTCTGATAGGTTGCTTGAAGGTGGAGGATATTGATCATGTGGTTGTGGGATGTTCTAAACTAGTTCAGGTAACTTAAATTCTGAACAAATGGGGGTTTACATTACCTACTTTTGATTCATTTAGTGAATGTTTCTTATGGTTGGACAGATGTGCTGCTAAGAATTTTTTCTTAGCTAAGCTTTATTGCATTTTTGTTTTTTTATCATGGAAGTCTAGATGCAAAAGTATATGGAGAAAATGATGACAGCAATTTGTATATTGCGACAAACTCCATTAGTTATGCTTCTACTATTGGAGGTGGATTTGTTAAATCAGGCTTCTAGGGTGTTAATCAGTCGGATAGGTTGTTAATGAGTGCTTAACACCCTCCTCCACCCGATTGGATTAAAGTAAATGTGGATGCTTCTCTTCTTCAAACATATAAGGCTTCTATTGGTGGGATTTTCAGAGATCACAAAGGTAGATTTTATTAGCTTTTGGATAAAATGGAATGCATTGGAATATAGCAAGGTTGGAGCTCTTAACAATTCAACCTTTCAGTCAAATTATGCAAGATTGGATGTTAAATTATGAAGGAATTATTATTGAAGGTGATAATACTAATATTATAAATCTCCTTCGAGGCTTGTCAAAGAAACTGTTTGCAGTATTGACGAACGATGAAAAGGATATTGTTAATTTCATTAAGAGTTTTAAACATGTTATTTTTAATTGTGTTAATAGAGATTGTAATAAGTTAGCCGATCTTTGTGTTTGTGCTAACATTGCTCTTAGTAGTAATCTTCTTTGGGATTACATTAGCTTGGATTATATTCCTCCCTCATTTTTTAGCTTATTAAAGGAATGTAATCCTTTTGGCTCTTTGTAATTAGTTTTCTTTATTAATAATATTGCTTTTGCATCTTTCAAGAAAATAAAATCGAAACATTGATTATCCAAAGTTTTTTTTGTTGATTATCAAAGATAAAGACAAGGTCAACTAAAGCACGATAAATGGTTGATACAAACTTTATATAATCGATAATGACTCAGACATAATGCTTTGTTGTTGGTAGTTAAAGACTTGAAGTGAAACGAGTAACTACCATATATATTATCTAGTCAGATAGACATAATCAATTACTCAATGCACATGTCACATTGGTTTTGTCATGTTGAGATTATCCTGCTCAGCTCAAGTCTAACCACCTAAGTGAAAGTACGAGATGTGCCAAGAGGGGGGGGGGGGGGGGGTGGGGGGGGGGGGGGGTTGAATTGGCATTTAAAAAAAAAAACCTAATCAGAAGTTCTTTTCTTTTTTATTTATTTCAAAAGGATAACTTAACTAATCAAATGTGAAAGCTAATGATTTGATAACAATTACAATAATGGTTATGAAATTTTAAATCGCACAACAAAATAATAAAATCAAATTTTCACCATGCAGTTATAGAAAAATTAAATGCATGAAAAGTAAAATATGAAAAATAGAAAAAGCACACCAGAAATTTTTGTAGTGGTTCGGTCAACCTTGACCTACGTCCACTCGCCAAAGTTCTCCACTCTGAGATTTACACTACTCAAAAGCCACTCTCCTTCTGCTCCCACAGTAAGGCGGAGAAGCCTTTATAAAATACACTTTCACCTTCCCCAGTGTGGCAAAGTGCTGGACGCTATGTCACCCTCGATGATGGCAGTAGACCTTTTCATTTTTCTCCTTCTTTGACTTTGACCTAGAGGCCTCTCCCCCTAGAGAGCTCCCATAAGACTCACCCAGGCCACAGAAGGAGCAAGCATGCAGCTAGCTCGGAGCAACCATGTGATCCCCTCACACTACTTCTCCCTCACGCACAAGCTCACCTTCTCCTCTCATAAGCCCTGAATCTCTTCAAAAAGCTCCCTCTCTAAAGTTCCTTCATCTATCACATTTCTCTCTCATGTTTTTAATGAATAACAGTATTGTATATATAATAAGTTTCAAGAAACCCTAAAAATTTAAATTAGCCAATTTGTTCATATAGTACGTTCCCAAATTATACAGTATGATTAGTTCAAAATAACTCTCATCCTAGTAAAAAGGGGGACGAGCATGTAAGAACTTTTAAATACATTGTATAGTACGATATGAATATTGTCTAATTTGATCTACTTTATTTCTTTTATTAATACAAGACAAATGTTGGGATGACCAAAAATCATCTTTGTTCATCGTCCGGTATGATCTTATTCGTATAGTACCATCTATTAATTTTATGTAGGTTATCTTGTATAATGTATTAATAGTACAGTATGATTAGTTCAAAAACCAAGGTTTTGTCTTGTATGATCTTTGGTATGAACAAAAACTGCCTCGATTCATCGTATGGTATGATCCAATTCATACAAGACAATCATCAATCATTAATTAAACTTTGATTTAATTGACTAATCATGGGGGTTAATTTTAGTAAGATTTCAAATCTTCATACAATAAGACTTGCATCGTACAATACGATGTGTTCAAAATTCAAAATATAAAAACTTGCTTGAATTAATCTGGCGGCTTGGGATTTAGGTTGAAAATAAATCATACAGTATGATCCAGTTCGTACACTATGATTAGTTCATAGAGGTTAATTTCCAATTTGTCATTAAGCCAAACACTCGATAATATATCATACAGTATGATATAAAATTGTATAGTATGATCTATATAATAAATAATTTTTTCTTTAATAAAAATAAATCTCCCCATGTGTGTGTACATGGTCACCCAATCTGCATGCACTATTTTATGGCGAGACTCAAAAAGTAAAAAATAAAAAAATAAATATTATAGACTCTATCACATCATATTCTACCCTGCCTTGAGCCTTCAGTAGTCTTGAGCAGTATGAAATATTAATACTCACAGATAAAAGTAACATCCAAAATATTTAATGAAGAATGAAATAATTTAGTCAACATTATTTGTCATCATCAAAATTACAGACTAGGGATCATGCATTGCAACACTAAGTTAGATTGAGATTATAATCCAATCCATTTAAAAACATATTAGAATCATAACATTCATATATATATATATATATAATCCTCTTCACCTTAACTTTTTGATAAAATATTTAATAATTATATGTATAATGAAAATTTAGCCCCTAAAATATTATATTGTGATATATATCAGAGCTCATGTACTTAAGCTTTTTATTGAATCTTTTATCATCCTTTCTCTTAATATTAGTTATTTCAATGTTTACCTATTTTTAATTCCAGACATATTCATATTAATTTTATAATTCATATCATAAAAGATTTAAAACTGTCCCGCCACGATCTTGTTCATCACATTTATCTTAAACATACCATCTTGCTTGTCACATTTCTCTTAAACATATTAAAAATATGTTTCCTTTTCAAATGTAAATATTTATTTGCATATAAATAATCATACTAAAATTATTTTAGATTTTTTTTTTTAAAAAAATTAGCTTTCAAAAAGATTATGCAAACCTTATCCTATATTAAATATTTAAATTGCCAATAAATTTATATCATACATACCACTTTATACTACTCTATTTACATATTTAACACTTGAAACTTTAATATTACATACATACCACCCATAGTTTATTTTTATATCAAATATGAGTGTTAGAAATGAAATATGTGAGTGGTAGGAAAGAAATATAAGTGGTATATTTGATATTAAAAGAACATAGGGTGGTATGCATGTAATATTAAAGTTTTAAGTGTTAGATATGTAAATAGGATGTTACAAAGTGGTATGTATGTAAATTTTCCATAAATTTAATTAAACCTTTGATATTTCCTAGAAGAATACTAAAACAAATAAGACTTGTCATTTTCTTTTTAATTTTTTTTGTCAAGGCACATGAATAGGGGAAGATTTAGGTGTCTATTGTTTTCTCACGTTAGAAGTTTGTTATGAAACCTTTCCAACCCAAGTCTCATATAATAAAGTACTATATGAAAATCATTTAAATTATGTACAATGAAAATAATCAAATGATATAATATGTGAATGTTATTCATATGATAAATAGATAAATATTCTAAATGACTTGATCAATATTTACCTTCTTTATTTGGTCAAATTTGATTAGTTTTTTTATATAGAGAAAAAATAGCTTTTTTATTCTTTTTCTTCATTCTAGCGATTATAGAGAGAGGCTCTAGGATGTCAAGAGGGGGTGGCCCTAGGTCACCTCCTCCCACTGGAGGTGGTAATAGGGGGAGCATTGTGGGAACTATTGGAAGGTCCTAGCTAGCAATGAGGGCGCAGCAGCGGGTACCCAACCGACACGGAACACCAGGGCTTCGACCAAATCTTTGGAGACCGCACGTAAGGCTAGAGATGGATCCAAATCGTAGCCAACTGTCAGGCCATCATCCACCGGGGGAGGGAGGAAGACAACATCTAAGATAGGATGCTCGGAGCGTATTTTGCCCAGCTCAACTACGGTCAGCATCTTTGTATTAGGTATGTTGACCACTTTTTTTTATCCCCACTGGCTAGAAGTTTCTTTGTGGGATCACGACCCCGATCACCAGGTCCTCAGCCCCTCACTAGATATGCTCTTTTTAATAGGTCCATTCCTTCGCAAGCATTATCCTTTGATAATGACTGTAGTTCAGAGCATGAAACAAACAACTTGAAGACTGAGATGGCGCAGCTGAAGCCCACACATGTTTGATGAACAACATGGAGGATGAGGAAAATACAAGCCCTAGTTCGGACCTCCAACTTCATGAGCTGCAGGTTCCTGTCCAGCCTCAGGGATCACACAAATTGTCAAAGGAAATCCTTCTCTCAGATGCCATGATCGATTTAGATAACATACCTTCTGAGGTTAACCCAAATATAGATGACCACATATCTGACTTGTTCGTGCCATCTGCAAACGAGCCATCGAATTCTGCCCAGGTGTGTACGGAGAACGATGTGATCCTGTGTCGAGATGTTGCTTCTAGTGGATTGGCCCATGCTGGGATGGATTGCGATGCATCTAGGAAGATCAAGCTTTCTAACTGTAGGTGTGGATAGCCACATGTTCTTATCACTCTTAAACATGAAGCTACAATTAGCTTCCCTCAAGGTGTTAGTGCTTTTACCCCAATGGCCACCACAACCCCTAACAGAAAAAACCAGCTTCCCCTCCATCTCAACCTGGTGGAAGTGTGTTTAGTGGGCAATTTTTTGGGAATAAGCTCCAACATGTTCCCATTGACTGATTAAGCAAGGAGATTTTCTTAGCCAAAGATGGGCTAACTATGGAACCTAAAATCAATGCAGTAAATAAAAACATTTCAGGGTTGGAGAAATCCCTCATAGCCAAGCTCGTTGGTAGACACGTTTTTTCCCCTATATTATGAATGAGTTCAAAATGAGATGGTACCAGTTTTGGAAATTCCAAATCACCACTACGGCCCCAAATTCCCTTATTTTTATATTCCAGTGCATTTAAGCTCGAGATGCAGTCCTTGCTAATGGATCGTGGATTATTGCTAAAAACATTATTGGAATGGATAAATGGACTCCATACTCCTCACGAAACTCTCTAAATGTCCTCCATTCACCAATTTAGGTTCAGTTGCCCCAACTCCCATTATTGTATGTGGATACCTCCAATATCACTTGCCTTGTTAACATGATTAGGGAACCACTTTGGATGGATGCTCTCACTACCACTTGGGGAAGATCTTTGTATGCCCGCATTTGTGTGAGGATTAACCTCTCATAAAAGCTTCTACCTGAGATTTGGATCAACGGTTTGCATGGCATATTCTTCCAACAAATCGAGTATTAGGGGCTCTCAAACTTCTGCTTTGGTTGTAGACTCATAGGACACACTCACCAAAGCTATCCAGGCTTGGCTCCCCACTCTTCACCTCGGGCTCATGTAGCCTCCCCCACTCCTACTAAGAAGCCATCCACTCATGGTCAGGATATGGAAGTCGTGGGTCCTTCCCTTTCTCCAAAGGATGCCACTTCTTCACAGGTCAACCGCATGGAGCAGCTTGCCAATGCAAACATTGTTCAATTGGATGAGTTAGGTGATTGGAAAATAGTCAAAAGAAGGAAGAGAGGAAACCATAAGACCAAGAAGGAACATGCACCATTTCCAAGTCACACTGTTCAACGGATCACTTTCTCCACTTCTAAGGAGCAACAATTGGAGGACACTTCCCATAGCATACTCAACCTTCGGAAGCAACACCCTATGGCCACTATGGGCTCTGTCGCCAAGGACTTCATGTAGCTAGGACCTCTCCCATCTCTCCAAGAAAGAGGAAGAAGACTTCTATAGAGTTTCTAGGTGGGGATTTGGTTATACATATGATAATAGATAAATAATCTAAATGACTTGATCAATATTTACCTTCTTTATTTGGTCAAATATGATTAGTTTTTTGGAATAAATGTATTTTGATGTATCTTCAATCATGTGGCATAAGAATACACAACTTAATTATAATGATTTATAAATTACCTATTTTTATATGGAACAGAGTATTCATACTTAAGCATATAAATGAGTTAAAACCCATTTGAGTTGTTAACTAAATGATAGGAGTGTGAAGGCTTCTAATGACTATATAAAAACTTGCAATTTAAAGACAGGTAAGGGGACTTGTGATGAACTTTTTTGTTTCATATAAAGGCAAAAAAGGTAAAATATACTCAAATTAATATTTCTTACGTGAATACAAATTATTTAGAATTAAGATAGAATAAATCATCTCCAAAATGTATGGGTAGTTAACTAAAAATACTAACAGTCTACATATGCTCAATGAGGAGCACATGTATAAAACTAGGTAAATATGTTTTTCATTCTCTACCAAAATATTGAGACCTAAAGTTAAATATCATTTTTAAGGAATGAGTCTTAGACACTTACTCTGTTAATCAGTATTTTCTTATAGAACATAGATTTAAAATAAATTTTAGGGGGGAATTAAGAAGATTAAATGATAATAATAATAATAATAATAATAATAATAATAATGGCACTAAAATTCTAGGAATATGATTTAAGTGAAATTTATAATGATTTAGAAGAATGATGAAAAATCATCATAATAAATTCCAGGGTAAGAAAAGTAATTTTAAATTTATTAAAAAATAAATCAAAATCTAGTTTTGTTTGTTTGTAGGATAAAAATAAGATAAAGTGCAAACTTTATATAGATGTAAAAAAGCTTGTTTTTTTTTTTAAATTTGATTGCCTCTTAAATAAAAATGAAAAGAAAGAAAAAAACCTTATCAAGGAGGGAGACGAAACACTTAAAGATGTATGGATCAATTTTATTGGAAAGAAACGTCTAGATCAATTCAATGATGGAGATAACATATGTCATATTGTTCTAAATAATTCATTATAGAGGAAGTAAATGATAAAAATGAATTTTTATCATTTGAAGACTAACATGATGCTTTCTTTAAACTAAATGAAGTATTTCTTTGTGAAGTGGCACATAGGGATGGCCCCATCAATAGATTAATAGACAAAAGAAGGAAGTTAAAAGTCCTTGGAGGTTGTTATACCTCAATAAACTATCCTTAAATCTCACTAATACAGAAGTAATACTATCAATTTATGCGTAAGTTAGTACAATTATCAAAACTTATAAAGATGGTAATAATAATCTAAAATATACCACATAATATCAATCACAGATTTTTAACCAAATAGTTATAATAGAAAATAAAATGTGAAAAACTAAACTGCAGAAAATAAAATCATAAAGAACACACCTGATTTTATAGTAGTTAGGTCAAACCATGACCTACGTCCACTCCCTGGAGTCACCTACTATGGGTATTTCACTAAACCTTTAGTGACTCTCCTTTAGCCCCCATAGCTAGGTGGAGTAGTCCTTACAAACTCTCTTCCACCAACCCGGTGCGGTAGAGGATCAAACTCCTTTCTCAAGAAGAGAACCTTGAGTCCTTGTCACCCTCCTAGTGAGGCAGAGAACCTTGACTCATTTTCACCCTCTTGGTGAGGCAGAGAACCTAGAATCATTTTCACCTTCCCCAATGTGGTGGAGTAGCAGGGCTCTTTCACACCCAAGAAATCCTCTTCTTCCCAAAACTTCCTTCAAGATAAACCTTGAATCCGATGGTATTAAGATGTAAGCCTACCATAAAAATCATGTGAAATGCCCTTGAAACCCAAAAGGATCTTCTTGCTCTCAAACTCCACCTTTTCTCTCTCTCTCCCTTTCAAGGATACCTCTTTAAGTTTTCTCTAGAAGAACGAAGACTCAATGCATGCCAAAGATACTCACAAAGTCTTATGAGAAAGTTTAAATAGAGGGCTTCAAAAATCCCTAAAAAATTAATTTAGTTGTCAAAGATTATACAGTATGATCGCAGGATCATACAATATGATGTGCAAAATTTGACCTGTTAGTATTGTATGATCATAAGTTAGTACAATATGAATAATTCAATTTGCTTGTTTGTACTATATGATCATTAGTATGAATGACCAATCATATATTATGATTAGTTCAATAAAAATACAATTCATCTAGGAAGAATTATGTGACAACCAAGTTCATGTCTATTGATCGTAAAGTACGATCCAGTTTGTACATTATGATCAAAATATGAAAGTAAGCAGATTTGATTGACTAATCACATGGTTAAATTAGGAAATATTTTAAAAATTGTATAATATGATTAGGTTTGTACAGTACGATTAGAACAACTTTATAAATTAAAATTTTTACCTCATTTAATAGATGGGCATTCTAATTATAACAGATCATCCAATACAATATAGTGCTCATACTATACTATTAGTTATATTTTAAAAAAATAATTTTCCTAAAAAAAATAAAATATTTTAATTAATTTCTATAACACTAGATCATACAGTACAATCCATATCATACAGTACGATGTATAAAAAAATTAAAATATTTAAAAATATATTTGTTTCCCTTGTTTGGGTGTGCACGATCACCAGGCTAATATATATTCTTATTGGAATTAACTCAAGAAAATAAAAATAAATAAATTAAAATTACAGACTCATTTAACATACCTATTATACCAATCTTGAGCCCTGAATCTTCAGAAAAAGGTGCATGGTGTACCTGAAATGTTAGTAAACACATAAATAAATATGCTCTATAAATACTAAGAGTAATAAAGAGATAATCAATACTATTTATTATCATTAAAATCATAAACTTGGAAGCCCGGGTCACAATAAAGGTCTTATTATAATAGCCAAATCAAATGGTCAAATCCATTTGAAGAACTGATGTAATAAAGTTTATTTGGATGTTTAGTTTTATTATTATTATGTAGTTTTTAAATTTATGTATATATTGAAATAATTTGTGTGAATTATTGAGTTATAAAAGTGATATCTTGTTAATGGTGAAAGTTTAATAATGTTGAGTAAATTTAGGATGATGAGACACTAAACCTTAGTAAGAAATTTTTCAAATGCCATGTGGAAAGATCAGGGGATGGCCATATGAGGAGAGGAAGTAGTTAGGGCCGTAGTTTTGAGTGGTTACTAGTCAAAATTTAGCTCCACCTATTCGTAGTTTTGAGTGGTAACTAGTCAAAATTTAGCTCCACTTATTCCCTCCTTATACTTGAATTTAAAAAGGGAAGTTCTAGGATATTTATGTAGTAAACTCCTTTTTTTTAAGTTAATGGATGGTTGTTGATTATTCATTTCCTTAGATTAATTTCATGTAAAATTGGTAGGCTAGGTGTGTTGCAAATCAGAATTTATGGATTAGACTTTTTGATGATAGCAAACATTCATAATTTTCTATGACTACCTAGCCTACTCACTTTTTAGGTCCACAAGAACGAGTGCAACTCAAGCCAGCTCAAGATTGGGTAGATTAAATCTGAGTTAGTTTGTAATTTTTCCTTTCTTAAGTCTATTATAAATAAAGTGGTTCATGATGCTAAGTAACCTTGCACACACACATATATGGGAAGATTTCTATATGCTAATTAGAGTTCTCTATTTTGATCACATCATCTAGGCCAATTCTAAAATCTTCCTAGACGATCAGGTAAAAACAAAAAACCCTAATTAGGGCATCCTAGTTAAGGTAGTCGTCATTAAGCGACTAAATCTATTTAGCTATTATTTATTTTTGGACATCATCCAGGATGATATCCTATCGGCCTGGACAATGCAGTACAATTATGCTCAAATTAATCTAATAATTAAGGAAAGCAATTAAAGGTTGATTACATGATTACATCGTCCAGGACGATCGCAGGATCAGCCGGGCCGATGTCGTGGACGATTGACATCGGCCAGCTTCTATTCAGAGTGATGTTCAGGATTATTTTCCTCAGATTTGAACTAATCAGCCAGGACGATATCCTTTAATCCTGGATGATGTGACTAAAAATTCTCTAATCGTCCCAAATCGACCAGGCTGATTGAGCAAAATTTACGTTGATTGGCCAGACCGATATTTATATCGGCCTAGACGATAAAGTTGGTTTGTATAAAATAAGAGCTATTCTGAGGCTCTTCTATTTAAGAGCTCCTATTCTATCCTAGAGCTTATCTTTTGATGTTCTCTTGATATGAGAGAGCCAAGAGGAGAGGGAAAGAGAGGGAGGAACTTGTGAGGGGGAGTTTGTGAGAGGGTTTCATAAAAGTTTCTCCAAGCAAGGTTCCAAGGTGCCTTCTCCAATCGTCATTGGGTCTTCAAGGGAGGTATTCTTTAGTAATCGATCTAGGTTCTCTGCCTACTTCAGGAGGAAGCAAAAGGAGTTTTGATTATTTGATTTTTATTCAAAGAATTTTTTAAAAATACTAATTCACCCCCCTCTTGGTTAGCCTTGGTCTAGTTTATAAGGGCTTAACATCCGTAACAAATTTTCAAGTGGTATCAGAGTGGGATTCATAAAAATAAAGTTTGAAAACTTTTTGAATTTTGATTTATGGATAACAACGGTAATCGTAATACTGCAGAAGGATATTGTATTACCCGACCATCTTTGTTTGATAATATTCTTTTTAATTTTTAGAAAACTCGCATGTCTACTTCTTTATAATCAATTGACTATCACATGTGGATGCTTGTTAAGGATGGTTATACTCCACATTCTTATGAACTTAATTGAATTAAAATTGAAGTTCCTTTTGCTGAATGGACTTTTGAGGAAAGAGATTTAACACAACTTAATGGAAAATGTTTAAGCTATTTCTTTATGCTTTAAAAACTGAAGATTACATGCGTGTTTCAACTTGTTCAACTAATAAAAAAATTTGGGATAAACTATGTATTATTTATGAAGGAACTAATGAAGTTAAGCAATATCGATTGGATATTCTTTTGCATGATTACGAACTTTTCCATATGAAACCTCATGAATCAATTTTTGATATGCATACGAGATTTAATCAAATTGTTACATCATTGCATGC